ATTTTTTTATTTTTTTTTTTTTTTTGTGTTTCAAAGTCAAATAGAAAAATTTCTGTATGCAGAAGACTTAATTGCTGTTGATAAAATGAAATTTTCCTTTTTAATTATTTATGTTAACACTAATATAAAATATAAATATTTTTTTGTATGATTTTGAAGAAAAAATAATATTAAAGTTTTAATATAATTCAAAAATATTTTACAAAAACATATACTTTTGTTTTAATGTTCTATCTCTTGTACAAGTTATTTTTTATTATACAAATCTGTGCATGAAGAAAAAAAAAAAAAAAAAAAAAAAAAAAAAAAAATACTTTTATTTTACATATAATTTTTACTTTTTTTTTTTTATCATTGTAGATANTTCTATCTCTTGTACAAGTTATTTTTTATTATACAAATCTGTGCATGAAGAAAAAAAAAAAAAAAAAAAAAAAAAAAAAATTTTTTTGTTCAAGTATATTTATTTAAAATAATATTTATCTTTATTATATTTTAATATAAACTTAATTTTATGTGATATATATATATATATATCTACAATGATAAAAAAAAAAAAGTAAAAATTATATGTAAAATTAAAGTAATTTTTTTTTTTTTTTTTTTTTTTTTTGAAGTTTCATATTAAAAAGTGGTTGTATCTGTAACTTATTTTTATTAAAGAAAATAACATAAACTATTTTTGAATGTCTAAGAATATTTAAATGAAATAACTTTTTTTTTTTTTTTTTAATATTATTTCAAAAAGTCTATAATATTTTAGTAATTAACAATTAGAAATTTCTTTTCGTTTTTGTTAAATATATTAGCTTTTATATTATCAATAAGAAGAGAAAAAAAGAAGCATATATAAAAATATTTAATATAACAACATTAATTGCTTGATATTATTTTAAAATTTAGTTACATATATCAATTATTAAAATTGTAAGAAGTATTTAAACAATATTTCTAAGCACAAATTATTGAGTTAACATTTAAATGTTTAACTAATATAACTATATATAAAAAAAATAAGAAATATGAAAAAAAAAAAAAAAAAAAGAAAAAGGAAATGAAAGATGAATAAAAAGGAATAATTGTAAATATAAATGTATAAGATTAAAAAAAAAATTATTATAAATCTTGATTTAACTTAGAAAAAAAAAAAAAAAAAACAAACACTTAAAAAAAAAAAAAATAGAAAATATTTTAATTAAAATAGTCTACATATCTACTACGTACATCAGTAATATTTAATGGGCTTTTATTTCTATTTGCAAAATTAGCTACTACAGGAGGTGGTGCAATATTTTTTATTTCCATTTCTCTTTTTAATTTTTGTTGTTCTCTTTCTTTTTCCTCATCAGAAGTAACTCCTCTTTCTCTCCATTTCTTTTTCTCATAATCATAATAAAATAAATTATCTTCTTTCACTTCTGTTTTTTTTATTTTTTCTTTTATGTTTGAAAAAAAACCAGATATTAAATTTTTTCCTAAATTAATTATATCCATATTATTTTCATTAGACCCATCTTGCAATGATTTTTGTGAAACATTATTATGATTAAATATATTTTGGTCTACATCATCTTTTTTATCATTTAAATAATTTTCTTTTACATTTTTTTCATTGTATCCTTCATCTGTGTTAAATGTATTATTATTTTGTACTTTATTATAACAATTATCATATAAATTGTTATTTATATTTTGACTAGTTATAGTAGTGCTATTATTAACAATTAAATTTTTATTATTTTCTTCCTTATTCAATTCATTGTTATTCCATTGATACTTTTGCTTTTCTTCATCTATGATATTTTCTTTAAGAGTTCCTCTAATCTTATTTAATTCTTGTTCATGTATATTTAAATTACATTCAGTTTGATTATTAAGACTTTTATCATTTTTTGAGGATTCTCTGTTCATATCTTTATGGTTGGAAATATCATAATAGTTTTGGATATTATTAGGTACATTTTGTGAGTTAAAATTTTGAGAATATAAATAATTTTCATTCATGAACTTTTCTTGTGAATATTTCTCATTTATTTTATCAAATTGATTAATATTTTCTGAGTTTAGTTCAACTCCATTTATATAATGATTATTCTCATTTTCCTTACTATCGTACTCTGAATTAATCTTATTAGAAGTGGATAAATATAAATTGTTTTCAGTTATGAATACATTATTATTATCTTCATAAATCAAATCATTATGAAAAGATATCTTATTTTCATTTTTATTGAAGTATGGATTATCATTTTCAAAAATGTTTTTAGTTATATTATGTTGTTCATTATCATTTATATTTTTTATTTCTGTTTCTGTTTCTGTTTCTGTTTCTGTTTCTGTTTCATTTATTGCTTTATTTATTGCTTTATTTATTGCTTTATTTTGTCTATTATTATAATTTAAAAAATCGTTCTTTTTTTCATTAAAATTATAATTGTCTTTTTTATTATTTTCAATATAATTATTTTTTTCCATTTGATATATTTCTATATTATCATTAGTACAAATATTTTCATTTTCCTTTGATGATGTAAAAGATATTACTTTGAAATTATAAATACTATTATTATCATTGAATTTATTCCTATCTATTAACAAATTTTCTTTTGATGAAAATATATATTTTGTTTTATCTAATAAAGTATCATATAAATAAACTAAATAGTTATTTTTTTTTTGACTTTTTATTACATCTATATAATAAAATAAAATTTCGACATATTGTTTTGCTTGATTAAGTAATCCCCATTCTAGTAAAGTGTAGGTGTATAATATTTTAAAAAAAATTAAATGTTCATAAAAAAAATTATCTTGCACATTTCTACATAAATATTCATATATATCACTAACTTGAAATGAAAAAATATCAAAGTATGAATAGTTTGAATTAGACCCAAGAAGCTTATTACTAAATTTTATCTTTTGGGAGAGTTTTTCATTTTCTAAATGAAAAGAAAAAGGACTATTGGATAAAAGTAAAAGCAAAAATTGTGATTCTTTTGTTTTATTATTTTCGTATAACAAATTTATTAAATATATAAAAAAATTTATAATGTCTTCTTTATAATCCATATAATTTATTTCGTTTTCTTTGAATTGAAAAATAAAGTTGTGAAATATTAGAGTAAAAAAAGAATACCAATAATTAATTAAAATATTTTTTTTAAAAATCATATTTTTGTTATTTATTAAACACATAAAGAAAACAAAAGATTCGGTAAAAACATCATCATATATGTTATAATTATAAATTTTGTAAATGTTTTTCATATCATTTTTCATCTCTATTTCATTAATAGTTGATGTATTAATATGACTTATATATTTATCTAACATTTTATAATATTTTTTTTTATTATATTTTTTTAAAATTAAAAAGAAATATTTGTACAATTCTTTTTTTAAGCATAGTTGAGTAGCTTTTTTACTGTTATATATACATAGATGAAAATATTCTAAATAAATGTCTTCAATTGTAATTTTCTCATTATTTTCTAATTTATGTAAATCTTCAATAAATTCTCTACTTATGAAATCAAAAAATTCATATTTATAATTATTTATATAAATATTATTTATATTATTATTATATATTTCGGTATATTTATCATTTTCATTTTCATTTTCATCTTCATTTTTTTTAAAAAATTTATATCTATTTTTTTCATTATCTTTTGTTTCTTCATATTCATTTATTTGAAAATGCTCAATTTCCTTTTTGTTAAAAGTATTATCAGAATTATCGGAAGAATTTGTATCTTCATTATTATTATTATTATTATGAAGATAATTATCTAAAAAATATGAAATATTATGTTTTTTTTTGCTATTACTTTTCACATTTTTTTCACATTTAATATTTTGTAAATTAAAATTTAACAAATGTGGTTTATTTATTATATTTAATAAATGTTTATATAAGCAATTTTTTTGTGTAAATTCAAATATATTTGCTTCAAATTTTAATTTATTAAAATTAATATAGCCATTCAAAAAATTTTTTATTTTTTCATCTATTTTATTATTTTTTCTACTAAAAGGACCAGGAAAATTTTTTATACAATGTAAATATTCATCTATATTATTTGATTTATTTACTTTTTTTTTTTTAATTTTTTTTTCAACTATGTTTATTAGATATTGAAATTTAATAACAGATTTTTTACTATAAAAAAATAATCCATTATGTCCAAAACAAAAACAAATAGAATTTTTTTGTAAATTTTCATTGGTGCTATTTGATAAAATAATTTTATTTTCCTTAAATGTATCTTTTTCTACTAAATTATCACTTACATCTTTCCTTTTAATTACATTATTATCATAAAAATTTTCATTTTCTTTATTATCAATGTGTTTTTGTTCTTTAAATATCTTTTCAATATAATTATCTTTTATATCTAGTTTTGAAACATCATCAAATAAAATATTGGGATTTTTTAGAAAATTGCCTTTACCTATATCATTATGTAAGTCATATATATCATTTATATGAGTTACTTCTTTATTATTTGGAATATTAATGTATTCCTTTTCATTTTTTAAACTTAAATCATTATTACTACTATTAATTTTATTAGTATAATAATATTTATTATCTATAATATTAACTTCACTACTTATATTATCAGATTTATTATCTATATTATTATATTCATAATTTACAACATTATTTAAATTATTAACTTCGTTATTTACGTTATTAAATTCATTATTTAAATTATTAACTTCGTTATTTACGTTATTAAATTCATAATTTACATTATTAACTTCATAATTTACATTATTAACTTCATTATTTACATTATTATATTCATAATTTACAGTATTATTTTCATTTTTTAAATTATGAACTTCATAATTTACAGTATTATTTTCATTTTTTAAATTATGAACTTCATAATTTACATTATTATTTTCATAATTTACATTATTAACTTCATAATTTACATTGTTAAATTCATTATTTACGTTATTAAATTCATTATTTATATTATTAACTTTATAATTTACATTAAATTCATTATTTACATTATTATTTGCATAATTTACATTATTAACTTCATTATTTACATTATTAAATTCATTATTTACATTTATATATTCATTATTTACATTATTAAATTCATTATTTACATTTATATATTCATTATTTACATTATTAACCTCATAAATTAAAGTATTATTTTCATTATTTAAATTATTAACTTCATTATTTACATTATTATATTCATAATTAACAGTATTATTTTCATTTTTTAAATTATGAACTTCATAATTTACATTATTAAATTCATAATTAACAGTATTATTTTCATTATTTAAATTATTAATTTCATAATTTACATTATTAAATTCATAATTAACAGTATTATTTTCATTATTTAAATTATTAATTTCATAATTTACATTATTAAATTCACTATTTACATTATTAAGTTCATTATTTACATTATTAAATTCATTATTTACATTTATATATTCATTATTTACATTATTAACCTCATAAATTAAAGTATTATTTTCATTATTTAAATTAACTTCATTATTTATATTATTAAATTCATTATTTACATTATTATATTCATTATTTTCTTTTTCTAATTTTTTATCATCGTTATTAAAAGATAAACAATTTATACTTGTATCAAATATAATATTCTCTTTTTTATTTAAAGATTTATTTGAAAAATCATCAAAAAGGGATGATAAATCGTTTTTCTTTTTTGTTTTAAAATCTCCTAGCTTTTCTTTTGTTTTATTTTTTCTAATACGAAAATTTTCATTATAAGTATTTGTTGAGTTTTCTAATGATTGTGTACATTTATATCCATTTGAAGTTTCTTGTAAAAATTCTTTGCTGTTTTTTCTATTTTCATTAAAATTGTTGTCTATATTGATACTATTTATTAATTTTATATTTGATTCTGTGTGATATTCATATCTTTCATTTTCTCTTAATATAACACTATCTTTATTATATCCATTTGTACTTTTAGAGATATTAACAACATTTTCACAATTTGAATTACTCAAAGGTACTAACAATTCTTTATCTTCATGAACTACATCTAAATTTGAAATATTAGATCCTTCAAAATTTTTTTTTTTCTCTTTTATTTTATCGATAATATTTATATTTTTGTTCTTGAAAATATTTTCATAATGAAATAAATCATTTTTATTTATCATTTTTTTTTTTTTTTTTTAATTATTATTCTTTCTAGATTTAAAAATTATATATATGTAGGTGGTAATATTATACTAAATTGTATCTATTTTAATAGTTATACACTCAAATAAGTGTATATATTTTTTTTTTATTAAAAAATGTGTTTAAAAGGTATGTTTGAAATTCACATAAAAAAATATGTAAAATTTTAGATATTTTTCTTTTCAATTTATTCTTTTAGTTTTCATTCTTATCTTTAATTTTTAACTAAGTTACATTTTATAATTTTTTAAATTAACATAAATGATAAAATTTCACAAAAATAAATATTGCACAAACAAATATAAAAGAATAATTAAACAAATAATTTAAGTGGAAAACAATTAAAAAAAAAAAAAAAATGTTATTCATAAAAACATTTTTAAGAGATGTTTTCATACTATTTCTTTATCCATTTATCTATTTAACATTTTTCCTTTTCATTAAGTATTTAAAAATTTCCTTAATTTTTTTTTATTATAGTTCTTAAAATCATATGTTGAACTCTAAAAGAATCTAAACTAATATTCATTTTTTTATAGAATGAATTTAAAATATTTTTTTTATTAAAAAGAAATTAATTATCATATAAATGAAAATTTTAAAATATATCATGCTTATTTTATATGCAAAATCGAGTATGGTAAAATTAAAAAAAAAAAAAAAAAAAAAAAAAGTTATGAAAACTATATGCATATATATATATATAAAAAAAAAAAATAAAAAAAAAAAAAAAAAAATAAAATAAAAAGATAAAATATTAATATATTGAAAAAAAATATGTTTTTTTTTTTTTTTAATATTTAATTTTTTTTTTTTTTTTATTAATTTTTAATATATCGTTTTAAATGTTATTTAAATTTTTTCTGTTTAGTATCTATAATTTTTTTTTTTATAAATGAAAATGAAAAAAGTAAGCAATGGGAGTAGATTGTATGTAGGAAATATACCAGGTTCTGCAACAAAGCAAGAAATAATTAAAATTTTTGAAGAACATGGAAAAATATCAGATATTGATATAAAATATAACAGAAATAGTAATGGAACGAATTATGCATTCATTGAATATGAAAACCCCAAAAGTGCAGAAAAAACTATTCTGAAAAGGAATGGAAAAAAATTTAAAGGATATATGTTAAAAGTTGAATACAGTATTGAAAAAAAGAATAAAGATGTTAATGATTTCAATAGATCTCAATATAGAGTTGTTGTAAAAAATTTACCAAAAGTTTTAAAGTGGAAATCAATAAAAGAATTTTTATCGAAAGCAGGTAAACTAATTTATACTCATGCTGAAAATGGTATAACAATAGCAGAATATGAAGATAAAGAAAGTATGCTAAAAGCTGTTAACACATTAGATAGAATAATTTACAATAATAAAAGAAAAATGTATGTTAGAGTTCTTAAAGATATACCATATGATGAATCAGATATGGATGATAATTTAGATTATAATGTCTTTTCGTCTTTTAATAAAAATGATAACTTAAATAAAAAATTTAATTTTTTTTCATCCAATACATCAGCAAAAGTTAGTAACTATTCAGATATGGTAAATGATAATAGCAATAATAATAGTAACAATAATAATTTAACAATTAAAAAAAATAAACAAAATATTGGATACAATACAAATAAAAATATAAAGTATGAATCTTTTAAAGAAAAAAATTAAAAACATATTCATTGAAAATAAATAAAATGAAAAAAAAAAAAAAAAAAATATAGTATTAATTTTAACAGAAGTTATAAAAGTACTCCTTTTTTAATATTCATGTTTCATAAAAATTTTTTAATAAATACAAAGCAATTAATTTTTATATTATTTTTTAAATTATAATATTTTACTTTATTTGATTTTATTGTTTTCATTTATTTTTTTTTTTTTTTTTTTTTTTTTTTTTTAAATAGCTATTTTCTATTTGATCTAAATTATGCATATGCATACTTTCATTTTTTTTATTTATAATAATTATTTTTGGTATAATATACCTTTTTACTAATATACCTTTTTTTTTTTTTAAGTGTTATAAAAGAAAAAAATCTATTTTATTTTATTTTATTTTTTTTTTTTTTTATATATATATATTAAAAGAACATTTTACAATAATTATTATGTGCGCTGATTTTTAAAATCCGTTGGGTTTATATAAATAAAAAGAATTATAAAATTTTCATATTTTTAACAAAAGAATTTTTTTTTTTTTTTTTATTATACAATTTAAATTAAAGATATAAATAATGAATAGAAAAGAATGTTATATTCATTTATGTGCATAATACAATATTTGTTCTAATATGGTAGAAATAAATGGTTTATTTTAAAAAAAAAATTATTTATAAAAGCATAAGGTTGTAAAGAAAAGTAACAGGATATATGAAGGTTATATATTATTTGAAATATTCAGCTATGTAAAAAGTTAATTTACACTTAATTTTTTTTAGTTAAACAAAAATTAATATAAAATAAAGAAGAAAATACTTAAGATATATATATATATTTTTCTTTTTATGCTCATTTAAAAAAAAAGAAGAAAAAAAAGAAGAAAAAAAATAAAATAAAATTAAAAACACATTTTCATATAACACTTTTTAAAGTTACAGTTTATATATAATTATAGACAATGTATATTTTAGGACAAGAATAATTTTTTGTATTTAAAAAAAAGAAAAAAAAAAAAAAAAAAAGAAAAAACGAAAAAATCATTAAGTTTATTTTAACAAAAATAAGGGTAGTTATAAAAATAAAAATAAAATATACTTCAAATACACAGTTGAATAATAATTTACTTTTTTTTTTATTTATAATATAATCTCGTATGCCTTAAAAAAAATAATCAAAATAATCAAAATAATCAAAATAATCAAGATAAACAAGATAAACAAGATAAACAAGATAAATAAGATAAATAAGATAAACAAGATAAACAAGATAAACAAGAATTAAATATAAGATAAATCAACCAAAATAAAAAAAATTAAAAAAAGCACTGTTAAAATATATATCATTTGAGTAATTACATCATTTTTTACTTTATTCTTAATTAAGAAAACATAAAAAAATATTAGTTATATTGCCCATATAAGAAATTTTCATTCATAGTATTAGGAAAATTACTAACATTATTTAAATTATTAATTTGGTTGAAACTATTCATTGTATTTATATTATTAAAATGATCAAAACTATTCATTTTACTTACGTTATTTAATTCTTCCATATTACTTAAATTATTAATACTATTCATATTGTTCATATTATTAATATTATTCATATTATTAATATTATTCATATTATTCATATTATTAATATTATTCATATTATTAATATTATTCATATTGTTCATATTATTTATTTCACATATGTTTAAATATTTTTTATAGTCATCATCTGTATTTAAATTACTGTAGTTATTGTAATCATTTATATACATATTCTTTTCATAATTTTTACTTGATTTCATATCATAAATATTTTGCATATTTTCATTTAATGAAATATATCTATTGGAATTTTCATTTTTTTTCATATAGGAATCATTTGAGTTTAAATCGTAGTTATATAAAGAAGTGCTAAAATTATTATTTAAATTTATATTATTTTCGGAGTTCGTTGTAGGAACGACTTTTTTTTGAATAGTTCTATATACACGAACTTTTCTTTTTTTTTCAATATCTTGTTTTATTTTTCTCATTCTCCTTTTTAAAATTCTCTCATATTGTTTATCATTTACATATATTATTTCATTTCCAACATTTCCAATATTTCCAATATTTGCTTTATTATTAATTAAATCATTACAATTTAATTCATTTGTATTAATTATAGAATTTATTTTAGTCATATCTAATGATCGTTCAATGTCTCCATTACTATTTTTATGCATTCCATTCATAGTATTTGATAGCATTTGTAAAGAAATATTTTGATTATTATTAATATTCTTACCATATATTTTATTTATTATTTTGTTTTTTTCCATCATAAGAATAAATAAAAAATTACTTAAAAAAATATGTATTTTAAGTCTTAATATTTTCTTTTTCTTTTAAAATTATTATTTATAACTTTTCATAATATAATTTATCAATATTTTTTACATGTTTTCATCTTATATAAAAGTTATTTATTATATATATATATATAAATTTATCTTTTTATTTGTATATTTTTAAAATATATATTATTATATATTATTATATATGAATGAATAGATAAATGTGTAGATTAAATAATTATGTGTGAAAACAAAAAAAAAAAAAAAAAAAAATATATATATATATATATATATATATATAAAAATTAAATATATAGGAGATATTAAGAAAAAAGTTTTAAAAAATATTTAAAACTATAAATCAAAAATGAAAGAAAATGAATTTATAAAAGTAGAAATTTCATATTCTTGTCATTTTATTTCTTCATAATTGTAATATTAAAATTACAAGTATGTTGTTTTTCGTTTTATATATAAAATATAAAGAAAACGTTAAGAATTAATGTTAAAAATAATAATTATTTTAAAAAATTTATTCTTTTTAAATTTTTCAATTAAGGAGAATATATATATATATATATGAATGAAATAAAAAAAAAAAAAAAGGTTTTAAGTTATATATCAAATAATCGGACAAATGGAAAAAAAAAATTATATATAATTATTATAAGATTAAAAATAATTATATGTATCAATTACAGTTGTATATAAAAACACAACAGACAAAAAAAAAAAAAAAAAAAAAAAAAAAAAAAAAAAAAATTTTAAAATGGAAAATTTTTTTTGTTTTTTTTTTTTTTAGTGTAGAAAAAAAAAAAAAA